TGGGGGAGGGGGGGCGCCCTAGCTGCGCCCCCTCCCCCCCAGCAGTCCAGGGAGACCCGAGCAAAGCCGCACAGGCGGAGGGACCCCGCTGCCCGTGTGGCTTTGCTCCTGTCTCCCTGGTCTGCTGGGGGGGTCCAGCAAAGCCGCTGGACCCACCCAGCAGACCAGGGACACCTGAGCATAGCCGGCACTTTGCTCCTGTCTCTCCCTGGTCTGCTGGGGGGGTCCAGCAAAGCCGCTGGACCCACCCAGCAGACCAGGGACACCTGAGCATAGCCGGCACTTTGCTCCTGTCTCTCCCTGGTCTGCTGGGGGGGTCCAGCAAAGCCGCTGGACCCACCCAGCAGACCAGGGACACCTGAGCATAGCCGGCACTTTGCTCCTGTCTCTCCCTGGTCTGCTGGGGGGGTCCAGCAAAGCCGCTGGACCCACCCAGCAGACCAGGGACACCTGAGCATAGCCGGCACTTTGCTCCTGTCTCTCCCTGGTCTGCTGGGGGGGTCCAGCAAAGCCGCTGGACCCACCCAGCAGACCAGGGACACCTGAGCATAGCCGGCACTTTGCTCCTGTCTCTCCCTGGTCTGCTGGGGGGGTCCAGCAAAGCCGCTGGATCCCCCCAGCAGACCAGGGGGACAGGAGCAAAGCTGCCCAGGCGGGGGGAGTCCCGCTGCCTGGGCGGCTTTGCTCCGGGGCAAACGAGCAAAGCCGCGAGAAAAGCCCCGTTCATAAGTGCGGATCCGACATAAGTCGGATCCGCGTAAGTCGGGGACTGCCTGTACTTTCAAAACTCTTGGGTGAATGCCATCTGGTTCTGATGACATTACTGTTAAGTTTATGAATTTGTTCCAAAAACCTCCTCTAATGAGACCTCAGTCTGGGACAATTGCTCAGATTTGTCACCTAAAAAGACTGGCTCAGATTTGGGAATCTCCCTCACATCCTTAGCTGTGAGGACAGAAGCAAAGAATCCATTTACATTCTTTGCAATGACCTTATCAACCTTGAGTGCTCCTTTAACATCTCAATCATCCAGTGGCCCCACAGGTGGTTTAGCAGGCTTCCTACTTCTGATGTATTTAAAAAAAATTGCTATTATTTTTTTAGGTTTTGGCTAGCTGTTCTTCAGATTCCTTTTCGGTCTTCCTAATTATATTTTTATACTTCATTTGACAGAGTTTATGGTTCTATTTTCCTCTTTTTAAACAATGCCATTTTAATTGCTCATTACTTCTTTTACTTGGTTGTTAAATGCTGGTGACATTTTTTGGTCCTCTTACTCTGTTTTTTAATTTGGGATATACATTTAAGTTTAGCCTCTATTATAGTGTCTTTGAAAAGTCTCCATGCAGCTTGCAGGGATTTTACTTTTGGCACTGTACCTTTTAATTTCTGTTTAACTAACCTCATTTTTGGGTAGTTCCCTTTTCTGAAATTAAATGCCACAGTATTGGGCGGCTGTAGTGTTTTTCCCACTATAAGTAAGTTAAATGTAATTATATTATGGTCACTATTTCCAAGTGGTCCAGCTATATTCACCTCTTGAACCAAATTCTGCACTCCACTTAGGACAAAATCAAGAATTACCTCTCCTCTTATGGGTTCCAGAACCAGTTGCTCCAAGAAGCAGTCATTCAAAGTGCCAAGAAACTTTCTCTCTCTGTCCTGTCCTGAGGTTATGTGTACTCAGTCAATATGGGGGTAGTTGAAATCCCCCATTATTGTTGATTTTTTTTATTTGTATAGCCTTTCTAATCTCCCTTAGCATTTCACAGTCTCTATCACTATCGTGGTTGATAATATATCCCTACTGCTATATTCATATTATTAGAGCATGGAATTACTATCCATAAAGATTCTATGGAATCATTTGGTTCATTTATGATTTTTACTTAATTTGATTCTATGCTTCCTTTCACGTACAGGGCCACTCCCTCACCAGCATGTTCTATTCTGTCCTTCCAATATATTTTGTACCCTGGTATGACTGTGTCCCATTGATGATCCTCATTCCACCAAATTTCTGTGATGCCTATTATATCAATGTCCTCATTCAATATGAGGCACTCTAGTTCACCCATCTTATTTAGAGATCTAGCATTTGTATATAAGTACTTTTAAAAACTTGTCACTGTTTAGCTGTCTGCCTTTACCTGATATGATTGAATGGGACTCTTTATCATTTGACTGTTTCTCATCAGCCCTTACCCATATTTTATCAGCTTCCATCCTCTCCTCTTCACTAGGACAGAGAGTCTCTATTAATAGACCTTCCCCAAAGGATGTTTCTGTCTGATCCATGTGCTCCTATGAACCATCGGCTTTCCCCCAGCCATTAGTTTAAAAACTGCTCTACCTTTTTAATGTTAAGTGCTGGCAATCTGGTTCCATTTTGGTTTAGGCGGAGCCCATCTTCCTGTATGGGCTCCCCCTTTCCCAAAAGTTTCCCCAGTTCCTAATAAATTTAAACCCCTCCATCCTACACCATCAACTCATCCACACGTTGGGACTCTGCAGTTCTGCCTGCCTATGTAGTCCTGCGTATGGAACTGGAAGCGTTCAGAGAACACTACCATTGAGGTCCTAGATTTCAATCTCTTTCCTAGCAGCCTAAAATTGACCTCCAGGACCTCTCTCCTATCTTTCCTATGCCACTGGAACCTACACGTACCATGACCATCAGCTCCTCCCCAGCACTGCACCCCAAACAGGATTCCCTCTAATATTTCCCACCCCTGAGCAGAATTAATTTTTTTATGTGCACCAATCCTGTGGTGATGTGCGACAGAGGAGACTACGACCTTCATATTGGTGCACATAACAAAATTAATGTGGTGGGTGGGCATGGGAGGGGATTCAGCCCTGGAGCAGAAGGTTGGGGTGCAAGGCTAGGGGTGTGGGCTCTGGGGTGGGGATGGAGCAGAGGGGTTGCTGTGCAGGAGGGGTACAGGCTCTGATCTGGGATGCAGGAGGGGCATAGGCTCTGGGTTGGGGGGTGAGCTTTGGGATACAGGAAGGTGCTGAAGGCAGAGGGACTCAAGGGCAGGATTAGGGTTTACTTGGGCAGCTCTGTTCAGTGTCTGGCTGGGAGGGCTCCTCCCCACTGGCTGCTGCAGCTTCAGGGCTTGGGGAGAGCCATCCCTCCCGACTGACCCCCTGCCTAGGGCTGAATGGGGGAACCATCTCCCTGCCCCAGCCCTGTGTCCCCTCCTGCATCCTATCTCCCTCCCAGACACCACACCCAACGCAGAGCCCAAGCCCCAAGCCCAATCCACCACCCTAGCTCCCTCCTAGATCTCAACCCTGAGTCCCTCCTGCACCCTAACTCTTGCCCAGACCCTGCACTCCCACCTGCTCCAAACCTCTTGGCCCCAGCCTGGAGCCCAAATGCCTCATCCTGTTCTACCCCAGAGCCCGCACCCTCAGCCAGAGCCCTCATCTGCCCCACAAGCCTGAGCTTCCGCCCACACTCCCAACACTCGGCCCCACCCCTGCCACAGATCATCCCAGTACAGCATGAACTTTCTTATGTGCTGTATGGAGACGTGTTCCACATCATCTCTGTGATGACACCACCTCCATATTGGTGCCCATACATTTCATTCCACACATGGACATAAAAAATGAGAGGGAACACTGGTGCAGTGAGGGGCCTGGAGGTTCCAGGGCCCATCTGATGGCTGCTCTCTGGTTGCAGTGGAGACGCTGTTGGACGTGGCTTGCTCCAGCGCCCTCCCTGGGGGTGGCACCAATCAGGAGCTGGCACTGCACTGCCTGTTCCAGGCTGGTGGGAATGTCATGGTAAGAGTCCCCCTATGCCCTGGGCCTTGGTGAGTGGCAGTGTCTGAGTGGAGGCCTGGCCGGTTCTGGTGGGGAGCCCCCTGGGGAGGGAGAGGTTGGGCCAGGACCCCACTCTCAGCTTTCCTCTCCCCTCAGATTGCCTTGGAGACTCTACTGCTGCAAACCCCAGTGTGGCCCAAGTCTCACCCTCTGGCCAGTTACCACTACACAGGTAAGGGGAGGGGGCAGAGGCTTGGGTCAATGAAGGCAGCATGGGGGAAGGAGAACAGCTGTGCAGGACCGGATAAAAGAGGAGTGGGGGCAAGGTTAGGAGTAGGGGCAGGGTGAGGGGCAGGGCTGTAAGCAAGGTAGCACTGGAACAGTTTTTGTAGTGAGGGGGCTGAGAGCCATTGAGCCAAACTATACCCTACAATGGAAACCACCTCAAGCTCAAGGGTGCCACTGCACCCCCAGCACTCCTAGTTCTAGCCCCTGGGGCTGAGAGCAGCAAGAGGGGGTAGGAACATTGGGCAGGGCAGAGGCTATGAGGGGTGGGCAGGGGCCAGGCTGTGGCAGGGAGTGCTATGGGGAGGGCAGGATGTCCTGTCTCAGATTCCTTTCCCACGAGCCCCGCCTCTTCTCCAAAGCCTTCACCCTGCACAGGAAGGACTTTGCCCAAATCCAACGTGCGGTGAGACCAGCCCCTCCACTTCCAACCAAGGTCACAATCCCAGCCCCTGGCCACTCCAGCCCTGCTCTCTCCCAGCAGGGGATGCTGTAGGGAGCAGGGCAGGAGTGCTGGCTGTGGGGCACAGTGCTGGCTGTGGGGCACAGACTCCCGCCCCAGCCTCTCGCAGCAGTGCTGGGGTACCGGCTGACTGAGCTCTCTCTGTTCCCCAGGTGCCCTCCAAGCAGCTGGCCCAATGCGTGGAGTTCTATTACCTGCACAAGAGCCGACTGCGGCGCAGTCACAGACGAAGTGGTGCCGGGTCAGAGATGGGCGCCACGGGGGGCAGGGCCGGTCCTGGGCAGGTATGTGAGACCTCAGGGATGAGGGGGAGCCGCTGTGTTTGTAGCCCTTGGGAGAGTGGGGGTCCATGATGAGGACAATGCTCCCCCTTTTCTCTTTCTCTCAGCCGCCACCTACTCCCGAGCTGCTTCAGGACTCACCCCCTGGCTCCAGCTTTCCCTGCAAACGCTGCGGCAAGTAAGTGGCTTTAATACTGGGCTCCATGCCCAGCAGAGTGGGGGGTGGGAGATGGGCTCCAAGCAGCAGCATCCCCAGGCCTCTGGTTGCTGCGGAGAAGCAGCTGGGAGGCTGAAGGCCCCACACAGGCACCTCACTAACCCCACCCCCCCTCGGTCCCCAGGACATTCCACAAGATCAAGAGCCGAAACGCCCACATGAAGATCCATCGGCAGCAGGACGACTGGGGTGGGCAGAGAGGGCTGGGACCTGGTGCTCTCCCTGCCGCTCACATTGGGTGTCCCCCCTGGGCTAACACAGAACCATCGGAGCCCATTGCAGAGACTGTGGCCTGTCCTGGGCTGGGGCTGCTCTATGGGAGGGATATGGAGCAGCTCTTCATGTGATGCGGGACAGGACCCGCCCCCATCCTGGGCCTGGTATGGAGAGCCTCGTGCTCCAAGTGTTTGCCCCACTGGGGGCCAAGGGGCTGTGCTCTCCCCATGGGGCACACAAGATTAGAGGGACCCTGCCCCTGCACCACCCTCTGTGCCTGGGCAGCTCTGCCACTGCCTGCTGGGCATAAGCACCAGGGTATGTGGGGCGGGGAGTGGGCCTGGGGCAGAGAGACAGCAGGGATAGTGGGGGTGGGCGCTTTATTGAGGATAGAACATGCTTATTGCCGTAACAGCCACCATGTTCATGCAACAGCCACACACACAACATGGGGACACAAGGCTCCCTGGAGTAGGGGAAGGGATCCCAGCCCACTAGCCAGTGGGGTGGGCCGGGGGGGAATGTCGTGTCGCACTCACAGCTCCACCCCCACTTTGAAGCCCTGCCCAGCAGGGAAGGACCAAAGCCGCCATCCTCAAGTGCCATGCAGTGGGTCCAGGGCCCCTAGCCCAGCACTCTGAGCTGCTGGGCAGGGGAACAGAGCCTGGAGCCACAGCCTCCCTCTGGGAGGGTCTGACTTCCAGGCAGCAGTAGTGAGGATGGGGGGGGCTCCCTCGGCAGCACTGGCGCTTCTGGAACAGAGGCTGCTCCGCCAGTGGGGAGGGGTTGGGGCAGGGCCCCTGCACGTCACAATAAATAAAGCAGTCTGGGGTGTTCAGTCCCCGAGTCCATTGCTCTGGTGGCCACCCTGATGCTGTCCTGTGTGGGGCTCTGGCCCAGTTCACTACACAAGCTTCCCTGCACCGTGGCTCCAGGTGCCACTCACACCTCAATGCTTGGGTCAGAGCCCAGGCCTTGCTTCTGCAGCAGCTCCTCTTGCTTCATTTTGGGCTTCTCTGTTCGCGTGTGCCAGACCAGAACCTGTAAGGGAGGAGTGCGAGGCAGAGGTGGGGTCCAGAGAGATCCCCTCACACCATGCCCCTCCCCACACCAGCACCCCCAGCAAGCCAGCACAGCAACAGAGGTGGGAGACTGAAGACACCTGAGACCATCCCACCTACACGTAAAAGTTCACATTCCTCATTCCTGGTCCAGAACAGAGCCCAGGAATCCTGACCCTCTGTTCTGACCCCCTCCACCCACTGCCCTCCTAGCCCCATGGGTATTGAGGATATATGTTTATTGCTGTGACTGCCACCATGTTCATGCAACAGCCACACACCCACACACCATGGGGACACGGGTCCCCCTCCTCACCTTGGTGCAGTTGTCAGCACGGGGCTCCAGCTCTTCAATGGAGACCAATGACTGCAGCAGACTGCTCTCCAGGTAGCCACGCTCGGCCAGCAAGTCGAACCGGGCCTCACGATTGGCAAGCAGCAGCTGCAGAGCAATAGCGAAGCCGGCCATGTCCATGGGGAAGGGCCGGTTAGGCTTCCAGGCTGTGTAGAAACCCACGACCTTGCCCTTCTCCACCAGGGGGCGCTCGAAGCGCAGGCCACCCACCAGCCCCACGGGCCAAACTGAAACACGCTTGGTGGAGCGGATCTGTGGGGGAGAGATGGGTGTATCAGTAGTAGCAAGAGACCCCCATGTGGGGGACACAAGACAAATATTTCCCAGCTCCCATTGCCCCATTCCCTGCCTCCAGTATACTACCACCTCTCCAAACTCTAGCACCCTGCTGCCCACCCCTTCCCCATCATTCCCATCCTGCCCCCAGCACCCTGCGCCCACCCTTCCCTTCCCTTCCCACCTCCCAGCCCCCTACCTTCCCCCTCTCCCAGCGCCCTCCCTTCCCTTCTTCCCTTCCCCCTCTCCCAGCGCCCTGCGCCCACCCTTCCCTTCCCCCTCTCCCAGCGCCCTGTGCCCACCCTTCCCTTCCCCCTCTCCCAGCGACCTCCGCCCCCCCTTCCCTTCCCCCTCTCCCCGCG